CTACTTAAATATGTGTATTAGATACAGCTGCTATTTTCTTATAATAAAACAATGAAAATGGGGTTTTTAAGTAAATGCAAATATTTTCATTTCTTCAAATGCAATTAATATTTCAGAAAAACTTGTAACACTTTCCTGCCTTCTCTGCTCCTCTTATTTTCCATTACATTGAATCTAATACCTTAAATTTGTTGCTTAAAAATTAAAAAAAAATTAGAAATAAGATATTTGTGCTTTTCTCCCTTTGAATAATTTTTCAAATCCTTAAAATATTTTATTAGAAGAGTTTATGTTATGTGTAAGTTAAATAAAATGAAAATACAGTGGCTGATTTGTAGCTATACCTTGTAGCAATATTGTTATAATATGCTTACTCTCCCAGACTTCTTATTAAAAGTTGTCAGTTGTTAATTTTCTTTTGACCATTTTTTTTCCTACCAAGAGAAGCAATTTCACATAGGAATATTGCTTTTGGTTAAGGAGTAATGAAGAAATCTTGGTGACATGCATAGTATTTAAATAAGAAACATACTGGATTTAAAAAAAGTTTCATCAAAAACAAATTTGCTATTAGAAGGCCACCCAGAATAAAGAGCAGATTTTAGAGAAAGGTGACCCCCCAAAAAATAAGTTCATTAGCATAATGATAATATACATAATTATATTTGATTGAGTTGTAACTTTATATTTCTCAAGAATTTTGTCACAGCCTATTCAAAGCAACAAACCTGTTGCTATTGCATTTTGAGTTCCCAGGGTAAATTTCAGTCTGAATTTGAAGTACTTGGAGGGGGAGGTGGTTCTTAGAAAAACAAATTAGTTAAACTAGAAAAGCTAAACAAGGGTAGAACGTGGTCACGGCCTGGTGAATTGATATTTTGCAGATGAGAACTAGATATTTCTCTCATATGTGATATTTGGAAAACTTTAATCATCTTCATAAAACTTTACAATTTGCCCAAGCACCCACAGCAAGCTTGTCATTCTTTCTTCACACCTTTACCAGTTCACTATTTCTATCAATCCAGGGCACAGTTTCTAATCGCATCGCCCTTACATCAGTCTACTGCATCCCATCTGCTTCCCCAAAATATCTTGAAGCAAAGAGTCCAGACTGTGGGACTGTGACGGGGTTTCTCTGGCTGGTGGTACTCTGATTGTGTTCAGAGCCTGGTGTGAAGTCGGGGTCAGGTGTAAGGAGTAATTCATCAACTGCACACTGATTTCAGGCTGAATTTCCAACCATCTGCAGCCTGGACTGTCGCCCATCACTAAAAATGTAGCTGGAGCCCAATTGATTGTGCCATAGAAAGAGCAAACACTTGAAAACAGAGGGCTGAGGAGTAGGCAAAAGAATAGAGAGGCTCCTATGGGGCAAAGGCTGTTAAAGATGTGAATGTACAGATCCTTCAAAAACAAAACAACCCCTTAACACACTTCTTGCACATGAAAATGTAGAAAATTTTGCAGAGGGAGGGAATGAGTTTAGAATTTCCTTAGTACTTCCTGCCCAGATTTGCATTGATAGCCAGAGTTGGTAAATTGCCAGTTTTAAAAAAACCTTGAAAACTCCCAAGTTCTGTTTTCCTTTGAAAGGCTGAAACATACAAAACTGGTTTTCTAAAAATCTTTCAGCAATTGAAACTTTAGGTACAGCTCCAACTATTTCTTTCACTTCAGAAGGGTAACGTGATAGCGTGAAACTATGATAAACCTTGTTTGTCTCGATTTTAATTGGTTTTAAATAAGAGAAAAATAGAAACAAGGGGACACCCGTCCTTTTCAGATTGTCTTCCTTTCTTTACTCCCCCAAATCATTATTGTCTTTGGGATCGTCTTTTCTTTGCTATAATGTAGTCATTGTTATCGCAACACTAAGTTTAGTGCTTACTTAAAAGGAGCAGAAATGTAAAAGTTCATGTTTTTTTCTCCAGAATAATTCCAAACTTAAGGGAAATACCATGTACATATCTTTTAATAGCATCTTTCTAACATATTTTTCTTTTACTTCCTCTCAATTTGGAAAAAATAATAATAGAATGAAAACCAAAAATTATTTCTATTAAGTAATAAAATCTATTTGAAGATTGGAGGTTGGGATGATTTGCAAGGAAGGAGGCAATAGAAGAGAAGAGACGATGTTAAGTTCATTCCAGGTCTTTCTGGCTCCAGGAATTCTGGAAAGCTTCATTTTTTTTGCGCTAATATGACTTTACA